ACCTAATACTAAGTCAACTGTGGATCAAAAAAGAAATAATGATAGAATTTCACAAATATTTAAAACTAAATGATAGTAAAGACATACCTATAAAAACACATGAGGTGCAACAAAAGCACTTCAGAGGAAATGTTAAACCCTTATATCTAACAAACAAAAGCTAAAAATTAATTAGCTAACATAAGATGAAAGAAAAGTATCAGCCATTCTCCCAAAAAACCGGAAGTAAAGAGAATTTTTAAGAACAGAAATTAATGATATGCAGAACAAAATGTGAGAAGGGAAATCAACAAAGCCAATATGCTCAAAATTATTAAACTTCAAAACATTCAAATTAGAACCACAATTAAATTCTATTTCACTGTAACTAGTATGGCTAACATTTGCTTAAAAACTGACAGTACCAGCTTTTGTAAGGTGTGAAGCAATGGAACATTTGTAAGTTACAGAAAGGAGTGAAAATAAGCTATAGCCACTTTGGGAATCTACTTGCACCTTAGGAAGTTAATCATATACCTGTCTCTCGACCCAGAAATTTCATTCCAAAAGGAACGAAAACAGTATTTCAAAAGGACATGTACAAGAATGTTTACAGTAATCGTTATTCATAATAGTCTCAAGCTGGAAACAACCCAAACATCCATCAGTAAGAGAATGAATAGACAAAGTGTGTTATGTTTATATAACAGGATTCTTGTCAGTAATTTAAAAAGCAAACTAACGCTACATGCAACAAAAATAATACATTGAGTGAAAAATATGTTGAATGAAAGAAGCCAAACACAAAGGGGAACATACGACACAATTCCATATACAGGAAGTTAAAGAACAGGCAAAACTATTACATGATGAAGACTATGGTGGGGCAGGGCTAGAGTAGAGATTACAATGGAAATGTTAAATTCTGGGGTTGGTAACATGGGTGCATGTATGTATCAAAACTCAAGGTAGCAGATTGCATTTTCAAAATGGTACAGTATCTCCCATACAGTGTATCATTCTGCAATGTGACCTTGTCACTCCTCACAAGAGATCGAACCTAATTCACTCTCCCCATGAATCTGGGCTTAATTAAGGGACTTGCTTGATTAACAGAGTATGGCAGAAGTAATACCCTGGGACATATGAAGCTAAACCATAAAAAAAAAAAAGAAGCCTTGCAGTCTCCTGAAGTCTCCTGGAATGTTCTCTCAGAGTCCAGCCACCATGCTAAAGGCCAGCATCGCACGGAAAGCCACGTGTGTGCTTGGGTTAATAGCTCTACCTGACCACCCGGCCAGGCTTCCTAGTGACACCAAACAGCAACTGCCAGCAACAGAAGTGAGCTATTTTGGATGTTCAACCCAGTCATGGCTGCAGAAGACTAGAGCCTCAGCTGACATCTAATTGAAATCACAATCGAGAACACCAGTAAGAATTACCCAGCTGCGTACAATCAACTCCACAACCACAACCAACCCCAATAAAAATAATATTAAGAGAATATATTGTATTAGAATTAGATTTAGTGACATAACAACTAAAAATGACAGCAGCTCAGACAAGATGAACTTTTTTTTAAAAACATCAGAAATACACGTCTAAGTCCAAAACTAGACAATTTAGTTTATTTGTCACCTTCAATCATAAAGAAAAACTAAGGCTCCATGTAAATCACCCTTTCATGGTTGTTGTCAGGCCTTACCCTGCTGCAGGCTGTTTACCAGCTCAACCAGCATCAAAGCACTGGGGAGGCACTATTGGTCACTAAATGCTATTGACTCCTTTCTTCAAAGCAGCTCTGTTAAGTCTCCTTTTCATCCCTTCCTTCATTCTCCTAAATCAGGACACGATTACTTTTTCCCTAGATTAATACAGTGACTTCTTATCTTCCAGTCTCCAGCTCTCTCTCCCTCTACTCTGCTCTCACCTTTTACGTGACTGCCTAAGTAACCACACCAAACATACATTTCCCAATGATTTCATTCTTCCCCCAGCCCCAATGCCGTCGAACCCAAACACAGGGAGGCCAAACAAACCAAAAACTTCGGAGGAGCGTGGAGCAGAGAAGGGTTTATTGCAAAGGCCTTAAGGGGAAGGAGCAGCTCATCTGAAAATGCTGAACTCCCCTAATTAGTAATTGCTTGCATCTGCTCTCTGGGACTCAGAGAAGGTCCAGGAGACTGAAAGCCTTTTTCCTACAAATAAGAAATGGGGGACACAGAAAGGCTTTTTTGTACTCAGGAGGGCCCCACAGGGTCCGGCTTAGTTTCAGCATGAGGGCAAAGGTGAGGAATATAAAGCCATGCCCCTTTTGGAAATAGTTAAGACTAAAGATGTTTAGTTTGGAAAAGACAAGTATGGGCAATGGGGTATCATTAATGCATCTTAAGTATGAAATCTTTATACGTATTTTTAAGAACTCCTCTCCCATTTGA